ATTGTATTTCCTTCTCCAGCTCCACAGATTTCCTTCCATTAAATTTATCCTTCAAATTTCACAGTTTTCAAACCAGCTATTCCAGGGTGATATATTTTTTTTAGACAGAATTTCTAAATTTCTAATCAACACCCCATTAACTAACTTACGATCCTGTAAAAGTAGAATAATCTCCCATTCTCTTACTTCCTTATAAGTGAAATGGGAATTAATATAAACAACTCAATATGGTGGATGTGCAGACTAAATTAGATCATATATGCCAAGTCATTAAAAGAATGCCTAGCACACATTAAATACTGCCTGTGACTATTGCAAACCTCACCGCCTAGTACTCACCCAGGACACCCAGGACTACAGCTATCACCAGTGTTATCAAGCAGATAACACTGATTGTCACAGCAATCAGCCGCCAAGGAGGAGAAGCCTTCTGATCACCTAAGGAGCCAGAGGGAGCAGAAATTGAATGAAGAGTATGATGGAGGACAGAATGCTTTAATCCCACAGTTCATTAAACTCCTGGCAAACTCGTAAGAGAATCATTTATTACTGATGCCTACATAATCTAGACATTTAGAGTGAGTTTCCATTTGTCCCCATCTTTAGGATACTTCTTCAGTTGTTGGAACTGAAACTGTCCATAGGTCTTGATACTGCTCAGGTCCCTGAAATCCGACTCATTCTTAGAGGAAACAGCTTAATATAGGGAACCTAGCCCTGATGACCAAGGATAACTTTCTTTCTCATTTATTTGATGAATGACTTAGGCATATTATTTTCCCTTTTATTTTTCATTTATCTTTGAAATTGAGATAACAATACCTCACAGGATTCTTGTGGGAAATAAATGACCTAAAATATGTAGAAGCACTTCCTTTAGCAAGCACATACAGGTCTCTTGTTACTTGTCCACACACACACACACACACACACACACATAAACATATTGCCTAACTATCTCTTCCCTCATCCAAATTTTCTGCTCTTTGTCACAAGTTGCATAAAAAAAGAATTTCATAAGTGGTGATGAGAGGAAAATAGCTGACCAGTGTGAATACCAGAAAGCAGAAGAAAACAAAATCTGATGTCAAAACCCATGAATTGTCTTTCTTGAAGATAACAGGGAACTGATTTTGTATTGACATCAACACACCAAAAACATCTCTCTGCTTCTCACTGGTAAGAGCAATTCATAGAACTGTCAAACAGGAGACTCATTAGGGAACTAAAGCCACTCATTTTGTAAAAAGACAGATCCTTTAATGTCCTTCTCAATATTTTCTTTCATTTGCATTTTTGTTTAGATTCATGTCCATAGGAACTTTTTATCTAATATATGTTTTCCTTCCCTGATATTCCAAGAACTCCCTTCAATCTCTTATCACAAAAAAAAAAAATCAGTTTTGAAATTTTAAACCCTACAACTTCCAACTTCCCTCTGGTCTTCACCATAAAATTGTAAGTTTTAGTTTTGTCATGTGTCTCTCATCTTTCCATTCTTCTCTTTCTAGTCTCCTATTTTCTGATGTTGTTCATAAGCATTTCTTTAGGATTCCTGGACCTCCCTCCTTCAATTGATTCTTTTCTATCAAACCAGGAACAAGTAAATCTTTTGAAATCCTTCAGCTTTGTGTAGCTTCACACTTAACTTTCAACTCCCCAGTGATGAAATATCTTTTGTTTAGAACAAACAAATTTCATTTTCTTCCATCAAACAAATTTATTTAGATATAAGAATTAATCCCTGAATACCTACCATGAAAGAGCCTTAATGAATTTTTAAGTTATTTGCAGTGACTTCTAAAAATCTTTAAAAACATATCAATGAGTCTCAAATTTTCCCTACTTTTAGTATTTTAGTCTATGAGAATGAGAGTACTAAAGTCAAAAGGAAAAAAAATACCTTTCACAGGTCTTCTGGTGATGCCTCTAGAGGTGAAGTCTAATTGAGTATACCCATCTTCGTCCAAATTTTCTAAATCAGAGTGAAATTCCATTGTTTTATATGTTCTCTTAAAAGACACTGCATTAGATAGTTATTTCCTTTTGCCTCTCCAAATGACTGTCCATGGGCAAAAGAGGATCTATAAGTCAAATCATGTGGTGTAAGCATTATTGAGGTTTAACAAGTTGAGATTTACTTCTCCACATACCCAAAAGCAGGAAATGAAAATTCTGCTGTGGTAATTTCCTGTTTTTACCTTTAAGTTTTATTTCTGGGTCTAAAACCTTCAATGAAATTAAAAAGCCACGTAATATCTATGTCCTTGTTTCAGATCAAGTACAAGACAAATGCATGAAGGCTTATGCCACCTTCATGATTCTCAAAACTGAGTTTGACGCCCTTAATTGACTTGGCCTATGTAAACTATTAAATAATTTGATACCTTGGATTTACTATCATTTTGTTATAAATGTACATATGTGCACTTATTCATGTATTTTTTCACCCAGCAAACACTTATTAAATGTCCAAGGTTCCATTCAGTAGAAGCTGGAGATCAAAGGAAAAATGGTGAAGAAGTTCATTGCCTAGTGGAGAAAACGTATAGATAAGGATAAGAATGATGCCATGGGGAGGTGCATTATTGTAACAAGAGAGGAGACAGTTCTCTTTGGGATTCATCAGAGATGAAAAATACAAGGCAGTAAATATTCAGTGAGCACTGACTATGTTCTAAGTACTGAATACCACATATGCTTTCCTATTCAATCTTAGCATTCCAAAAACTCTATGTAGTATTATAATTCCTATTTTCAATGGAAGAAAATGAGACATTAAAAATGTAGTTCTTTGCTGGGGCTTAAGAAGCTAATTTTAAAAATTTGAGCAAAGACTTGAACCAGATGCTTTTGCTGCAAAACTCATGATCTTGTTGGCTATCCTACACTACCTTCTTTCCTCATTCAGTACCTTAATATTGCCAAGTAATTGCTTATGGAGCATTCTGGGATTGAAATATTATCATAATTTTCTATGTTTTTTCCCTTTCCAAATTTCCATTGTAATTCTCAAAATCAATCAAATGAACACATTCATCATTGCTGCCAACTTAAGCACCCAACCCACGCACCAGACTGAAATGAGCAAAATTTAGGGGACAGACAGTTGACTACAGATCAACAAAGCCAGACTTTAAAGTGATGAGGACAGATTTCAGTAATACTATCTCATCAAGGAAGAGGGAACTGAACTGAACTTCCCTAAAATAAGTCTGAAGACTTTTGAATGACTTAAGTGTACTAAGGAAAAGGCATTGGGGTGAAACTCAGTGTGACTAGGGTTTGTTAATTAACATTTATTCAGAGGAGAAAAAAATCTCTTCTGTCTTTATGATATGAGGTAGTGGTGCAAGTTGAAGCAATGTGCCCACCATCTAAATTGGCCCTTATTGTCCCAGAGTGACTGGGAGAGAGAGAGTAAGAATTATCTTCCTGAATACTGAATACATTTCAAAGAAACAGATGCTTGAAAATACTGTTCTGTGTGGTAGATTTACATCAGAAAAGGCAGAAAACAAATTTAGTATTGCAAGTCTTCTAAAATAACTGTCATAAGAAAAGACTCAGGGGCTATCTGTCTATCACCAAATTTTAAATAGAAGGAAAAGTAAATTCTCCTTAGCATAAAGAGAGCTTCCTCAAGAAAGCTAAAAGGAGTCATCTTGTGAACAAGGCTGGAAGTCATGCTAAAGCTGTTCACATCTCTTGATGCAGAGGTTT